AGCATAGGGAATACAGTAAAAAATATTGTTATAGCATAGTATGGTGTCAGATGGTTGCTGGACATATCATGGTGATCACTTCTTTAGGTGTATAAATGTTGAATAACTATGGTGTACCCCTGAAACTAATATTGTATTTTATATTTTTAATAAAAATCTTTTAAAAATAAATTGATAGATATGTACTTATTGCCATTTTATTATTCATATTTTTTATTCTTCTTCCTCTTCCTCCTCCTCCTCCTCCTCCTTCTTCTAGAAGTCCCCTTAACATTTCTTGTAACACTGGTGTGGTGTTGATAAACTCCTTTGCGTTTTCTTGTCTGGGAAGCTCTTTATCTGTCATTTCATTCTAAACAATAGCTTTGCTGGGTAATCCTGGTTTTAAGTCCTTACTTTTCATCACTTTGAATATTTCCTGCCAATCCCTTCTGGCCTGCAAAGTTTCTGTTGAGAAATCAGCTAACAGTTTTATGGGAGCTCTCTTGTATAAAATAACTGCTTTTCTCTTGCTGCATTTAAGATTCTGTCTTTAAACTTTGGCATTTTAATTATGATGTGTCTTGGTGTGGGCCTGTTTGGGTTCATCTTGTTTGGAACTTTGCTTTTCCTGATCTTGTATGTCTTTTGCCTTTGTCAGGTTAGGGACGTCTTTCTTCATTATTCCTCAAATAGGTTTTGAATTCCTTGCTCTCTTTCTTCTTCTGGTTCTCCAATAATGTGACTGTTGATACACTTATTGTCCCAGAGGCCCCTTTTAAACTATCCTATTTTTTGAGAATCTTTTTTGCTTTTTGGTTTTTTTTTCTACCTTCATTTCTAAATCACTGATTTGATCCTGCTTCATTCAACCTACTGCTGATTCTTTTATTTATTTTTTTATTAAAGATTTTTATTGGGGAATTGGGGGATGGAAACAGTCCTGGGGAATTGGGGGGAGAGGAACAGACAAGTTGCTGTCATTTTGTTCTTCAGTCTAGTTGTGGAGGACCCCGCTTCACTGGCCCAAGTTGGCACCATCATTGCGCTCTTCCCGGGTGAGGCAGATCAGTCGCTGGCTTCTGGACGGCCGCTCACGGGTGGCTGCTGGCCGCTCACGCTGGCTGCTGGCTACATACGGTAGCCCATGGCAACCCACTGCCACAGGGGCTGCAGCCTATGCCGTGGCCGGCGACTCACAGCAGCCCAGCTCCAGGTCGAGCTGTTGCTCAGCATCTTAGCTGTGGAGGGCAGTGTCACTGGCCCTCATGTGGGATCCGAACCGGGGCCCTCTGGTGTCCCAAGCCAGTTCTTAACCATTGCGCCACTTGGCTGGCCCTGCTGATTCCTTTTAATGTATTTTTTTTTCACTTCAATTATTGTATTCTTCATTTCTGACTCGTTCTTTTTTATGTTTTGTTTTTATGTTTATCTCTTTGCTAAGGTTCTTGCTGAATTCATCTACTCTTCTCCTAAGTTCATTGAGCATCCTTATAAACAGTGTTTTGAACTCTGCATCTGGTAGATTGCTTGTTTATATTTCGCTTAGTTCTTTTTCTGGCGCTTTGTTCTGTTCTTTTATTTGGGCATGTTTCTTTGTCTCTCCATTTTGGCTGCCTCTCTGTGTTTCCTTCTATTGAGTATGTAGGGCTGCTATGTTTCCCGGTCTTAGAGTGGCCTTATGTAGTAGGTGTCCTGTAGGGCCCGGTGGTGCAGTCTGCCTGGTCACCTGAGCCGGTTGCTCTAGGTGTGTCCCTTGTGTGGGTTGTGTTCCCTTTTGTTGTAGTTGAGCCTTGGTTGCTGTTGGCACGTTGATGGGAGGGATTGGCCTTTGGGCTGACTGGTTGTGAGAAATGGCTGGCTACAGTGGAGGAACTGTTGTGCAGGGGCTGACCCTAAGGAGCAAGATTCACTTTAGCAGGGTGTTGATGCCTGCCTAGTTTGCCCTTTGGGTGTCATCTGTGGAGGCAGGTAGGTGGTCTTCTGGCGGAGTCTGAAGCCAGCTACCTGGTGTGCCAGCCCTGCAGCCTCCTGGAAAAGGCTCCGCTGCAGGCCACGTTCAGCCACAGCCTGTCCCTTGCCTGGGTGCCACCTGGCATGAGCCACAAAGCAATCTGTAGGTGGCAGCCACCTGTGTTGGGCTTGGAGTTACTTTAAAGAGGCCAAGCCATGAAAGAAGGCCAGCTGCTACTCATGTTGGACTTAAGACCACTTAGCAAGAGACATGGAGAACGTTGAGGCCAAATGCTGCTCATTTAGGCTTTGTGAACCTTTGAAAGATCTTAAAGAAGTCTGTAGCATGAGCCAAGACAGGCGATTTGGGTGGAAAGTCACTGGAAGTAGCTTGGGTGGACCCACCAGGTGGGTGGGGCAGGGTCTCAGAGAATCACCAGGAAGGGGCAAAGGTATGGTGTTAGCCAGGTTGATGAGGACTCATATGGCTCCCTGTGTCTGCACACTGGGAATGGGGAGGACCCAACAATGCAACAGTGGAGTTTGCCAGCACTTCTGTCTGGAAAAAAGCTGCCCCTCCAGACCTCACCTGACTGCAGACAACTTAGTTCCTCCCTGTATGTCCCTGGATCCTTTTGAGTTGCTGCCCCAGCTTTGGAGCTCAGGGTGAGTCCACCCACCAGAGAGTAAATCCATGTGGGGACCCTTCAAAAGGAAAGCCTGGGACTCCTGCTGCCCTCCATCTCACACAGCCACAATCTCCACTGGTTTTCACAGCATTTGTGGGGACTTCTCTTGGGAGCTTCATGTAGAGCTGGTACCCTTCACTCCTCCAGGGGCACCTCCACAGCCAAGATATCCCTTCCAGTTTTTAACTGCCACACACAAGTGTGGGACCAGCCCCTTCAATGTCTCTATCCCTCCCACCAGTCTCAAAGTGGCTTCTTCTGTATGTCCTTAGTTGTAGGACTTCTGTTCAGCTAGGCTTCAGGCAATTTTTTTTTTTTTTAGCTGAGCCATCCTGCCACCTGTTGGCAGCTCAGCAGCAGCTGAGCTCAGGTTGGGAATCACACCAGTGACCCTGTTGCTCAGAGCTCACACTCTTGAGCGAGCTCTTAATCCAGTGAGCCACTGGGCTGGCCGGAGGCAATTCTTTTTTTTTTTTTTTTAAGATTTTTATTGGGGAATTGGGGGGATGGGAACAGTGCTGGGGAATTGGGGGAAGGGTAACAGACAAGTTGCTGTTGTTTTGTTCTTCAATCTAGTTGTGGAGGACGTTGCTTCACTGGCCCAAGTTGGCACCTTCATTGTGCTCTTCCCGGGCGAGGCAGATCAGTCACCGGCTTCTGGATGGCCGCTCACAGCGGCTGCTGGCCGCTCACGCTGGCTGCTGGCTACACACGGTAGCCCATGGCAACCCACTGCCATAGGGGCTGCAGCCTATGCCGTCGCCGGCGACTCACGGTAGCCTAGCTTTAGGTCGAGCTATTGTTCAGCATCTTAGCTGTGGAGGGCAGTGTCACTGGCCCTCATATGTGGGATCTGAACCGGGGCCCTCTGGCATCCCAAGCGAGTTCTTAACCATCGCGCCACTCGGCCGGCCCAAGGAGGCAATTCTTTTTTTTTTCTTTAGCTGAGCCACCCTGCTACCTGTTGCAGCTCAGCGGCTGCTCAGCTCGGGCTGGACTCGAACCGCTGTTGCTCAGAGCTCAAACTCTTGAGCGAGCTCTTAACCAACTGAGCCACTCAGCCAGCCCTCCAAGGAGGCAATTCTTAATGATGGTTATACTATTATTCTATAGTTAGTTGTAATTTTGATGTGGTCATGACAAGAAGCAAGCACAGCATTTACCAACTTCGCCAATTTGACCAGAAATCTATGTTTGATATTTTTGTGACTGGATAATTTAAAAAACCATTTTGAAATCACGACGGATTTTCTTTAGAAGCAAACAGCTTTACAACCTTATGGCCCACACACTTAGACTACAAACAGTAGTTATAAATCTATATGGAGTTTGGCATAGAAAATATAAAAACAAACTTCTTCATTTGACATTTCATGTTGAATAAAGTTATAAGAATCTAAAAATATTTGTCTTCCCCTATCCCTCTCTAAACTTGTGTTCAACAAATTCTTTTCACTGAATTTATTCATGTATTTTTCCTCCTCGAAGTTAATAAGTATAATCTTCGAGTTTTAGTATTTATTTTGTACTTACTATGCACTAGGTATATATATGGTAAAGCTGAGGAAATATAAGGATATAATAGGAATAAAAGAGATACATGTTCCCTGCCCTTAAAGAATTATGCTAACTGAAGATGTGCATATATACGCACATTGATCTGAGAGGCGGTGTAAATAACTCAAAGGAAGGACAGCTTTGATTGGCACAGTCGGATAAAGCTTCATGGAGAAGGTGAAACTTGAATTGGCCTTGACAGATAGAGGGTGCCCACCTATGCTCAGCTAGAGGAAGGACGGTAATCTACTTGGTACAAAGAGTGACATGGGCCAAAGGACAGGAGAGAGCAGATAGAGCAAGCCCCTAGATTTCTGTGAAACCATCTCCGTAATTGTCTACAAAAGTCCTACTGCCAACCAAGCCCACGTGATTCTCCTGGACATACAAAGCCTTAATGAAAGGTGCCCTTGCTATTTTTGAAAGAACTTTTGTTTTATAGATAATAGATGTAAACTTCTGACACAACCACATGAAACTGGAAAGGAACTGGCTTGCCATCACTTTGCTCAATTTGGATTCCATGTCAGTATTTGTAAAGGCTATAAACATCAAGAGGATTTTTTTTTCTTAATAAGGTCTATGAAATGCAAACATTTTGCTAAATAACAATCTTTTCAATAGGTACAGGGGCAGGATGAGAAGTCATAGCTTCTAAAGACATGTTAGTGCCTTTATCGGCAATTGCCGACTTTTCTGTTTATCTAGCTTGGTCTTTATCCTCATGGATTAATCCAAGTGTCTGGGAGTAATTATAGGCAACTCTCTATTGCTCATAATAACAGGATGCAACAGTGACATGAAACATAAGGGGAACTGAAAAAATGTCAAAGTGTGGATTTATATATAAGCCCCAGACTTACATTCTTAACTAACACTCTAATATTAAAATTAACTTGCATTTTATAAACAAACACTGGTGACAAAGAGGTCTATTTTGGGTTACAATGAGTTGATGGTGTCACTTCAAGAAATGTTTTCTAAGTTTGTATCTTGATACTATTTTTAAATTTTTCCTTCCCAATCTTCCACCATCCCAGAAATAGTGTGCTAGTGATTTATACAGCAGTGCCTATAGGTAAGGTCTGAAAAATCAGGATAGAGAAACTAGGTTTTGTCATATTGGGGAAGTAACATCAAAGTCAGTACATATTTGTGTTGTGTTTCATCACATGCTTGCTTTCATTTCCAAAAAAGCAGAGTTCAAATGTACTTTCAGACCAAAGACAGGTAAGGAGTGACAGGGAGGCAGCAAGAGTCACACATCTGAGAACAGCACAGTGTATGTGTATTTGCCAAGGTGACTGCTGGTGCCCAAATTTCCTCCGCCACTTCAGAGTTGTTCGGTTTCAAGCCCTGTTGCTACTGGGTCACAGCAGGAAGAAGTTCTGTTGATTTTTCACTTGTTTCTTGCTTGACACATTCAGGATTTATGTCTTGTTTTTTAAGCCAGCCACTGTTGTCTTTGTGTAATAAAAAATATCAGACAAGTCTTAGGATATGGAAGTAATGTTTGAGGCAGTCTCCCTCACTGGCTCTCTCCTAAGAAATACTATTTTGTGCGTAGCAGCATCTCTCATCCTTTATACCACAAAGGATTGATGGAGGTTTGCTAGCTGAAATTCATCCTTCAATGATTTCATTCTCTTGTTCGCAAAGGCAGTGCAATCAACTGCTGCCCTGTGATTTCTGGCACTCCCAGTGGGAAGGAAACAACAGAGCCAAGTTACGGCAGGGCTTGCCCAGTTGGGCCTTCAATTACAAAAGCATCATGGTTTCCCTTCCTCCCCAATTACCATTCCTTCCTTGGTTCCCTTTCCCATTTTTATCCAGCAGGGTTGGCTAACATTCCTTTCCTCACCCTGGGAAAACACGTTGCTCCAGTGCAAAGGAAGATTAGAATAAACAGGTTGAAGGGGGCTGCGGAACCTGAGGCTTGCCAGAGGACAGCTTAGCTGAATGGGTGCCTGAATCAAGGCATCTCCAACTGCTCCCTCAGACATCAGAGGGCTGGGCTAATGTCACTGACATTTCCAGAGCACAGTACTTGTACTTTATAAAGCTTGTTCTTATATATTATCTCATTCCATTCTCAAAATGGTTGTAATGTATTTATCCCTTTTTCAGAGTGAAATTTAAGTCTCAACAAAGCTGTTAGCTGACCACATCCTCACAGCTGATTAACTGGCAGAGCTACGATTTCAATCAGCTCTCTTGATTTTACTTTATAGATCCCTGAAGCCAACTCATATATAAGAAATAGTGGGAACAGACTTGAAGAAATTAAAGGGGGTCAGAGTGTGACTTAAGACAGCAGTCAAATCCATAGGTGTAGGACTAAGAGCTATTTATATGTATGATCACCCCCCCCCCCGCTCCGTTTCCCAAAGCTCCTAGAAATTGTCAACCTTGATGAAAAATGCTCCTCAGGAATATTCTTCAACGATTTCCACTCTGTAGAGATGAAACAATCCCAGGGTTCTTAGCACACCATGCCTGACAGGCCCTCTCCCATCTGACTCCATGCAGCTTTCCAGCCTCTCACGCTGTCTTCATGTATGCTGTGTTCCTACTGTGCTCAGCCACTTGCAGCTCTCCATGTCTTTACTTTCAAATTTCTTGATTATAGTAAAGTATGCATAACACAAAATTTACCATCTTAACCATTTTCCATTGTACAGTTCAGCAGTGTTACTTATACTCACACTGTTGTTTTATCTCCAGAACTTTTTCATCTTGCAAAGTCAAAACTCTGTACCCATTACACTACTACTCCCTCAAACCTCCCACAATCACCATTTTACCTGTTTTTGAGTTTGACAACTCTAGGAACCTCAGGTTAGTGGAACCATCCAATATTTGTCTACTACGCTCTGTCTTTACACACATTGTTCATTGTTTCCTCCATCTGGATATCCTCCCCATGCTTTCACAGGCTACTTCTTATTAATCCTGCAGGAGTCAATTTAGATATCATCTCAGGCTTTTCATGGTCCCATCTCAATTAAGTGCCCTTCCTATACATTTAGTAGTGCATTAATCACACCCAATTGGAGTTGTCCAAGTTCTAACTTAAGTGTGGTGGAAAGCTGCATTCTCCTCGGCATACATCTGGGAGCTTGTTAAACATGCAACACACTAGGCCTTTAACAAGATCCCAGGTAAATCACATGCACATTCAAGTTTGATAAGCACTGTTCTCACTAGACAAGCGGTTTGAAACCTCTTGCGAGCCAAATCTGGCCCGCTGCCTATTTTTGTAAATAGTTTTATTGGAACACAGCCAGTCATTTGGATATGTATTGTCTCTGTTTTTATATTACAGTGGAAGAGCTGAGTAATTGCAAGGGACCACTGTATGGCCACAAAGCCTAAAATATTTATTCTCTGGTCCTTCACAAAGAAGTGTGCTGGCTCCTCTACTAGACTATGGGCTTCTTAAAAGTGAGAACGTGGTCTTATTTTGTTTTGTAAGAAGAAAGGCAGATTAGTATAATGGTTATAATGTGGGCCTGAGGGTAGACTAACAAGATTTACAGCTGGCTCTGCCATTTCCTTGCAAGTGACCCTTCCTATGCCTCATAATCCTCATCTCTAAATGGGGGCATAGAACCTACCTTACAGGGTTGATGTATGGGTTAAGTAAGTCAATGCATGTGAATTGCTTCAAGTGGCACCTTGAGCAAATGTCACCTCCTAGCTAGTACCAGATATTTTTAGAGTATCATGGGGGATTTGTTGATGTTGCTAGAATGGCCCCTGTAACAGACGCTGTCTAGTAACATCCATCCATTCTCTGCTTCTTCCTTGCTAACATCTAATGATTTTTTTAGGTATGTAACCTTCCTGGAGGGTGACCTCCTCTCTGGGGGGGCGGGGGGAGTACTATTGCAATTCAATCATAATGCCATTCTCAATGTCAGTGGAATGGCTTACGGGTGGGCAGTTCTCCCAATGAGCCATGACAATTTTCTTGATGGGCTTCTGGGAAAATGTTTCCTCAATCTTTAAAAGAAAAATGAAAGAGATGCCCCTATTCTTTCACCAATACTGTTTTGTAGGAATGTGATGCTTCAAACTGCAGTAATAGTAAAGGGAGATTGTCTGAGAACACTTACATGTTTACAATGGCAGAGCTGAAAGATGGAAAAAATCTGGGCCCTTTATGAGGTCAGAGTTGCTGAATCCATCAATCCCTGGGGCTTACCTACTCAGGTACTATTTTATGGAAGAAAATAAATTTCCCTAGTTTAATTTCAGTCCAAAGCTTCCTAATTCATAGTACCATGAACCATGTTTACACATATTTTTACTCCACCCAGGACCTAACAACTGCTGTTGGGTGCGATGAGGAAAAGAAGAGTGGTGGTTGGAAAATGAATTGACTGGGTAGGGCAAAAAAAAAAAAAAAAAAAGGATAAAAAATGTTCTGGGTCACTGCAGGCACAATTCTTCACTGCCTTTTATCACTCTCAGCTGGGAGTATCTTTTCCTGATAGCAGTGGCTCTCTTCCAAATGCAGATCTCCCTTGTTGTCTGAACTTGTTACCCAAGAAACAAGTTGGCAGGTTGTTTCAAAGCCAGATGGGTTTTGATGATTTCCTTGGAGATATCCATTATTTCCCCTCTGGGTAGATGGAGGGTATGAGGACACCTTATCTTGTAGGGGCAGAGAGAGTATGGGTGGGGTCTCTTATATAACATGAAATACAAGAAAGTTTTCTTTGGGTTGGAAGTATCAAAAGATTCCTTAGAATTTATAGCTACAGGGATTTTTTGGTGTGTCAACATACGTATGAGATATGTATCCCTTCTGAGTCAGAACTATTGGGTTGTCAGAAAAGTCACGACAGATGTTTGCAACAGATGGTACTACTTCATTTTTGGAAGTACTAGAGTCATTCGCATCTATGCTATTGCTATGTCATTTGACAGCTGACAGTTCTAGCTTCACTCTAAAAAAAAATTGAGTGATTTGGTTGAGTTCTGGAGATTTTACAAGTTGAATATGGAAGACCAAACTGTGCATTTTTGCCATATTTCACTGTTTTACTTCCATAAAGGGAAGAACGCGCGTCAAGTTTGTGAAAAGTTGCATAAAGTTTACAGTGACAGTGCTCTACAAGAACGTCAGTGTCAACAATGGTTCACAAAATTCCGCACTGGTGATTTTGATCTCAACGACGCTCCTTGGTCAGGGAGGACCACCGAGGTTGATGATGACAAGATAAAGGCATTGATCGAGTCAAACCCACGTTACATGACACGAGAGATTGCAGAAACATTGAACATCCATCATTCCAGTGTTCACGACCACCTGAAGAAGCTGGAATACGTAAGGAAGCTCAATCTTTGGGTTACACATGAACTCAAAGAAGTTCATTTGACGGCGTGTATAAACATCTGCGATATGCTCATTAAATGTGAGGATAATGATCCTTCTTTGAAGTGACTGATAATTGGTGATGAGAAGTGGATTGTTTACAACAATGTGGTGTGCAAATGGTCTTGGTCCCGATGTGATGATTCGCCTCAAACTACATCGAAAGCAGACATTCATCAGAGGAAGATTAAGCTCTCAGTGTGGTGGGATTTTAATGGTGTCGTGTTTTTGAGCTTCTACCAAGGAACCACACAATCAATTCGAATGTGTACTGTCGGCAATTGGACAGGTTGAACGAATCCATCATCCAGAAACGTCCAGAGCTTGTTAATTGTAAAGGAGTCGTGTTCCATCGTGACAATGCGAGACCACACACAAGTTTGATCACCCATCAAAAATTACTGGAGCTTGAATGAGATGTGCTGCCACACCCACCATACTCGCCTGACCTTACGCCGTCAGACTTCCACTTGTTTCGCTCTCTTCAAAACTCTTTGTGTGGTATAACGTTCAATTCAGATGAGGCTGTAAATCAGCACCTTGTTCAGTTTTTTCGCAAATAAAGACAAGTCCTTCTATGAACGAGGAATTATGAAGCTCATTGAAAGATGGCAAAAGGTTATCGAACAAACGGGCAATACATCATTGATTGATCTTTGTTCTTTATATAAATAAATGACCTTTGAAAAACATAAGACAAAATACATCATGACTTTTCTGACAACCCAATAGTAGCAGAGATTCAAAGCGATATAGGTGGCTAAGTACATGTGAGGGTAAAGTATGGGGAGAGAAGGTGCAGAAAACAAGGCTCCACCTGTCCTGAAGAGCACCTTGACCCTAGAGGAAGCAGGTCAACGGTTAGCTTCAGTAAGTCAGCTGGATCCCTGCAGTTCCACACCCCTGCAAACACTCCCCAAAGACAGACATGCTTAGATCCTTCTGCCTGGAGAGTCTAAGGTGGGAAGACGCTTGTAGAACTTTGGAGCCATAAAGTCACTGTAACAATCAAGTTTTAAGGCCAGAAGGGTCCAGGAGACACTAGGTCATTCATCTCCTCTCCTTTAGGCAATAACAACATAGCTAAAGCCTCTCAATTGCAGCAGCACACATTTTCTGGTTAAAAGCCTGGGGGTGGGGGTGGGGGTGGGGGTGAAGATAGGTAAAAAGATTTCAGGACTTTCTTCCAAAAACCACTTTAATGATGTACCCGTCACCTACTTTAGGGCCTAAGAGAAAGCTGACACTTGTTCTCAACTCACCCGTTCTTGTCAGGTAAACCCCAAGTCCCTCTTCTAAATGGGAGGATCCGTAACTCAGTGAAAGCAGGCTCTCACAGGCGAGTGCTAAAGGATGAAGGGTGAGCAAAGGTCTCGCAGTGATACTCTTTAAACCTTTTTTGTCAGCTCATATTCACATGCACTTAATGTGCAGCACTTCCCTTGTGACTTTCCGTCTGCCTCCTTCTCTAACAACACTTTCTCCTAATTGTTCGATTTTCTAATAGACACTGCAGCCTGACATAGCACCTCTGCCTTCATCACTGGTGTTTCCTAAAGACTAACTAGATCTTTAAGAAAAAGTAAGTAAAAAGCTTTTTGTGGGCAATCAATTCCCTGCAAGTTTGCTGATATTACTGCCTCCATTTAAAAGTTCCCCACCAGAGACTTGTGAAGAGAGAGCCCAGTCATTCCTGGGGTTCCTACTCTTTGGACATTCTCAGCCATGGAGCAAGTGTTTCCCTTTGGAAGCACTGAGCTGAATATGCAAATTATCATGTGATTGTTGAAGAAGACAGAGAGAAGGTCACAGAGGCCAAAACTCAATTGCTCTTGGGGAAGGGGTTAGGAATAAAGTCTGTGATGCAACTCTCTTTCAGAAAAGGGTGTGGAGGAGGGTTGGGTGGATGTACCGGAAGCCTTGGCAGTCGGCTTTGAAGTCTTCTGGACAGGAAAAGTGTAGCCACCCAGAGAAGCAGGCTTCAATGATATCCTCCATAGGGCTGATGTGTTGGAAAACAGCCAATGAGCAAGAGAAATCTCTTGAGAAATGTGTCTCTCCCTCTTCTGGAATTATTGGGAAACTAGATAGGATCCATGGGTCTTGTTTTCAAGAGCAGTCCTGAATGAATTTTTAGTTTCTTGGTGGAAACAGAGAGCTCAGAAAGATATCTGGCTATCTTTTTTTTTCTTGATTTACCTAAAGCTTGTGTGTTGGTAGATTAGGTACATGCATGCACAGGACCAGGCTATTGGCAAACAATCTTATGGAGGAGGGTAAAAGGGCTCATTCCTCTACCTTACAGATTCCTTTTTGAAAGGAAACAGGCTCTATCCACCAGCAACACTCTAAACACCACCAAAAAACGTATGGCAATGGACACGCATGCAATTGGTACATATATTCTCCCATCACCTGACTGGTCTCTGAGTGGCAGAGTAACTCCTTTCCAAACCCCCTTAGAATGGGTGAATAACCTATGGCTAAGGGGAGACACCCATCCTCTTGGGGTTGCCTGGGGCATCTGAGGCAGAGGTCGTTGGAGCACGCTCCTCAACTGAGGCATTGAGATCCAAGAATTCCAGGATGATGTCCCAAAGGCAGTAAATCAAATGCCTGAAACAAATGGACACAATTTAGAGGAAGGCGTGGCTCACTCAGGAGACACTAGATCCTGTTTATGGCATTTAGTTTCCCTCCCCCTTCCCCCATTACTGTGTAGCTTGATGAAGCCTCTGACATGACAGAAGTTTGTTGAACTAAGAAAGACTATGTCTCCAGTAAAGGTAGAAATAGTACTTGAGACTAGATTTTAGGAAATTCCATATTTGTTTACATAGCTATGGTAGCACATCAGCACTGCTCCAAAGAATTGTAAGGGAGGGAAAATCCCTGTGATATCAAGTCACTAAGAATTTTCAGAGCTTCTCACTACTGCTGTTTTTCATAATTCAACACTGTAGATTTACTTTACAGGCAATGAGGCAAAGGCCAGGAACCTTGAGGAGCGGGAGCTGGTAGATGCCATCTGCTTTGGGATAGGGTTTGAGAGAGGAATGTAGGTGCTCAATACTTCTCAGAAGCATTCTACCTCAAGATACCAGCTGGGAAATACTTACCTCTTCTGAATTATTCTAGGAGTATTCACCCAGCATTTCTGGTGCTTTATCAAAGTCCAACCTCATTATCTTGTTTACCTCACATAAAACAAAGACAATTCCTGATCCTAACACTAATCATAGCTTTGTCGTGAGGCCACGAACCTATGGCTAAAAATCATTATATATGGTCTGTAACGCACAGGGCAGGGGATGTTCTCAGTGTTCACAGGGGCTGGCAGATTTTGGCAAGAAACATTAAGCACACTAAACAAGCCTGGAGGGTGATAGAGCACTTTCAGTAGCTCAAGTGGGGACCTGCACTGAGTTCTGCCAAATGCAAACACAGAAGAGGCTGGTGCAACATTAGCTTACTACCACATGACAACCTGCAGGAGCCAGCAGTGTGTGGGTTTTACTTGGTGTGTGGGGTCACTCTCTGCAGTCAGGGCCCAGGGCAAGGAAAGACTGCAGTCCCGTTCTTTTCAATGTGGGTTGTTCACTTGGAAACCTTGGGCACCTTTGAGACCAGAGATGGCTTCAGTTATGCTGATGTTGGGTACACACTTTTTTCAGCCTACCTATTGATGAGGGGTTGCTGTAGTGACTCCAAGACTAGACTCCAGCTCAGCCGGCATTTATTCACCCCAAGGATTTCTACCAGGATATCTGAAGAGGAAAATACAGACATGGCTTTAGTGTTACCACTGAAGGCTTAGATTCTAAGGAGATTTTCTCATATCTACTCTCTTTATTCAAATGGGTACTTCTGGAATATGTCTGAACTACACAGCTAAAGTAAAAATCCTCAGAAAACAGAAAAGTTAAGGAAAAGTGTTTCTTAAGTGTCTAAATAAGAATGGGCCTCAAGAAATAATTTTGTAACTTGTCACTAAAATGAAGGTACCTGTCACTAAGGCTACCATTTAGGTTGGAATACAGAAGTTACTAACAGTAAATAACACTGTCCAGAGCTAAGAGTTCACTACTGTACCCTGGTTAACACAGCACAATCATAGATAAACTGCCCTCTAAAAAACTACAAAGCAAAGAAAAAAAAAACCCTCTTCAGAGTTTGTTTTTGTTTACTGCTACAGACCATGCATCTTACTCAATGGCCCTAATTTATCATGGCTGAGCTTCTGTAGGGCATAGGTTTCCTTCTCTGGTCCGAATTCTATGAGTTGTCAGAAAACTCAAAGTCTCCATCTGGTGGGAACTGCCTCTGTGGTGTAGGCAGAGCTTCCCCAGACCTGCCCCACAGTTATTACCCCAAATGTCTACAGGAATCTCACCTACTATCTGTGGTGTGGACACAGCCACCCTTTTCATTCCCTCAGCATCACCTGGGTGAGGGGTAAAAAAACTGCAGCCCTGATCATCTTCCTATTAGCATGAGAATTGGTGGGTCAACAGGTTTTGAGTCTAGCCACATTTAAGGCCCTTTGAAAAATGGGGAAAGTCGTGGAGCAATGGTGGCAAAACAGGATCAGAAGGAAATAGTTATTAGGATAATCAATCTCGATCAATTACCTGGCAGGACTCCCATGAGGCTTTGCAAAGCCTGTTTCTCAGCAGTCACTTTCTGCTCCTGGGTCCTTACCAGCCGCGGATACTTAGGCAAAGCCCCACCAGGCCAGATGGACTCCTGAAGAAGTCGGAGGTATTGCACCCAGCGCTGAGGACAGGTTAGGTTAGCAACTTGGACCTCTAGCCACCTGTGGTAGAAGAGAGGAAAGCTCAACTAAGCCTGAAGGAAAGGGCATAGCAATTAGAACAGGGCAAAGCAAAGTTAGCGCCAATTCTCACAAATGAAACCAGGCCAGTTCAACAACTTGGGATCACAGTACTTGATGATGAATAATAATACTGATATTGTTATTTATTGAGTGTCTGCTATAAGCCACACATCGGATTAAGGGTGTTACAGAACACAACACTTATAAGCACCACAAGAGTTCTGTCTCATACCTCTAAAAAAATTTCCCACAGTGCCTTGGTGCTCAGGAAATGTTTGCTGATTAGCTGGCAATTGTTCTTATTATAATGAAAATTTCCCTTTGTCTAAAGGGTTCTTTGTCTCTGGGCAAGGCTGTACCTTTTCAACTTTCCTCCAGTGGGAAGCATTGTAACTTCTCAGTAACGTGTACATGCAGCCTGTACAGTTAATGGTTTCATGATTGTACACAAATCCCTCTCTCTTGCCACCTTCTCCATATCTAGGTGGTCTTCAAGTCTTCATGACCTGTCTTGAGCATTTCCTGTGTCTGCCCTTTGCTCATAATAGTCCTCTCACTGACAAGGCCCTCTCCTTTCTAGTAGCAGAAGTCCACCCAAATGGCAAGACCTGTTTAAATCCCACTTCCTTCACAAAATCCTTGACCACTCCAGCTAGAAGTACTCTCTCCCCTCAGATCTCTACTGACACTTAGTTCTACAGCACAGGTTTGGAACTAATGTTTTACTTTGGAATATAAATTATTTTCTCATGTGTTTACAGCTTTACTTTTCCAACTACATGTGATGCTAAGCACCACATGAGTTCTATGTCTTATAGCTCTAAAAAATTTCCCGCAGTGCCTTGGTGCTCAAGAAATGTTTGTTGATTAACTGGCAATTGTTCTTATTATAATGAAAATTTCCCTTTGTCTAAATTTCAAAAATGAGTCAATAACTCTGAGGGGCAGATATACCAAGTCTGCAGTTCCTGCACGATGTTTCCATTTTATTCTTTATTTGTCCCTGCATTTTTTCAGAGCATTGTAATTCAAGATCACCGAGGCCTCCTTAATATGTACCACCATTGAGACTGGCATGCTGTGGCTGTAATGGATAGACCACCAGCCACATCTACCCATGCACGGAAGACTATTTGGTACAGCACCACATGTTGTCGCTCCTATACCCGAGTTACTTGTCATCTATCCAAGAGTGGAGGGGCTGCCAAGGCAAACTTTATTTAACCTCCACTCTGCCAGACAGTCTGCATTCCACTCAAGCTAGGCATTCCAGCCTTGGGGGCTGCAGTCCCCCAAGTCCAGGGCTCACAAATGATTCTAAGAATAGGAAGTCTAAAAGGTAATGGCAGGGCAAGAATGGCAGACATTGATGGAGATCAAGAGCGGTACAAAGCTCTGCTTGCCCAAAATAGCCATCACGATCGTAGTTGGTATTATTAGGGCTGCATCTCCTTTTTATAGGGCTTTTCATTCAGCTAGCCTAAGATGCCTGATGAAAGGGATCCAGTAGCAAGAATTCCTGTTTCTGTTTATAGAAGAGGGCCACCAAAGAGGGTGCAATGACCTGACTGAGTTTTCTGCAGGAAAACAAGTGATCCAATTCTCTTACCCCAAGTTCTCTGCTTTACCTCAAGCCACATATACTTGTGTGACTTTTGCTAAGGTGAATGATGTGTACCAGGGTCTCATCTAACTGATCAGAGGGAGAAGGGCTGGGACTTGAAAACGAAAATCTTTAACTCCTCCAAAAATCCAGAGTCTTAAACAAGGAAACTTCAGCTAGAGCTAGTTCTACCTCAATTTCTCATTCACATATGCATATAATAAGCCAGTTTGCTCTCATTTTTGGAGCCCATAATGCCTGAGACTCAACTCTTCAAAGGTATCTCAAAATCCACAGAACCCTTCCTAGACTAAGCATAATATCCAACAACAAATCTGGGTACGCTGGTCATTTTCTAGACATGTCTCACAGTCTATGAGCCTGACTGTATTGAATTCATGTTAATTCACCCAATGGAAACAGGACTTTCATGCATTATGGCAAGGATGTCCTCTTGGTTCTCTTTCATGGCAACTCAGTGACTCAAACACATGAGTGCAAAACAAATTTTGGCATGTAGCAAAATATGAAATTATAAATTTACACAAATCTACATGACTACAACTTAAACTCTAAATGGGAATGCTAGAAAGAAGAATCAAAATAAGAAAAAATAAAAATAAGCCCTTGATGATAAGGATGAGTTAGTGAGTCAAATCAAATTGTAGGATCTGACTAAGATAACAAGCAGAACTAACTGACAGAGAAGACTGAAATCTCCAAGTAAAATATCAGCTGCTCATAAAATAAACACACTGCCAAGCACTATAAACCCTGAGGCACATAACTGATCAACAGAAGGCCCTAGAAGAGCCAGTCCCAGAAATATAAGAACTAGGAATTGTGCAAGCTGGCAGAAATCAAACAAACTTGATGTCTAAGAAGAGGAATATAGTTTAGAAAGTGGCTTCTATTTGCTAGCTTGTTTTCCTTATTCTTTTTCATACAATGAAGGTAAAAGACACAAACCGCACACACTTGCACCACACACTTAAACATTCATTCTTTTCAGGATTCTCCTCTTGCCCAGGTTCTTCCCTCCTCCTCTAAGTAAACAGAGGCTTTCATCTAGACATTAGCCTGGGATTAGCCTGTTTCATTTCTTAGCCCTGGGCAGCCCACGGAGAAGACTAGGACAGTAAATCTTTTTTGTTCACAGAACTGAGATATGGTTATCTCCTCACGAATGATGAATCTCCCAATCTATAAGAAAAAATTATAAAGCCCAAACCAAGAAAATCACCACCACCATTACTACCATTGCCCAAACTGCCCTGCCCCTCAGATAAAACAAACAAACAAAAATCTGTGAGCTGTAGAGCAGTTTCTAAGGCATGCTGTATTATTTTTTTACACACAGTATCTTTCTTAGGTTGTAAATGGCCACATTCAGGGATTCCATCTCATTTGCTGTGCCTACCACCGAGCATGGAACCAGTAACTGATAATGATGAAGAGGGTAGGGGTTTTTTCATCCAAAGCTCTTCCCCGCTTTCCACCTCCATATTCCCTTCCTTTCATTCTCTCTAAGTGAAGTTCCATACACACCATCAGTGCTTTATCTAACTTTGTGAATTCCCTTGGTCCTGCTCAGTTTATTCTGAAATTGAGCTACAGCAGAGAAAGCAGAGAAATTAGGCTCTGGAGTATTAAAAGAGAGACTGACGTCTTAACTTCTCCTCATTAGTTCTCTTCATTGCTCTATTCCACACGTTGTCTTTCTACACTTAACCTAGGAGTGAGAAGGTTAAAAAGAAATCCGTGTCCCTATAGCTCTCTTGAAGCAAAAGGAATGAAATTTATGTATCCGAGTCCAATGCATCACAGCTTTACCAGCATCAATTTCTGGAACCTATGGGTGCTATTTACAGTTATGCTAACTGAAATCCCAAGTTTCAAGGTACACACACACACACACACACACACACACACACACACACACACACATATGGCTCTGAAAATTTATTATAATTTATAAGAAATCACTAAATACAAATTCTATTGTTTATGTAATATAAGACATAAGAGGTAAATATGCTAAAGTAAATATGGCAGAGAAGAGCTTCAAATAGTATTGGGTTTTCTTTTCTACTACTATTCCAGTTCTGATATTTGATTTAAAGATATCTCCTTCTACTATCCTACCTTTTTCCCAAAAAAAGAAGAGAAAAAGCCAAACCAGGTCTGTTCGGTCAGGCCATCTCTGAATGATTCAAAACACATGGAAGCCTTACTAGTGGGCCCAGAAATAGCCAATAAAATGAGAAAAAAGCAACAACTTATTGACACTGAGACATTCAAGAGCTTCTCTGATGCCAGATGTGGAAGGAGGGAGGATGTAAAGATTAGGGCTTTCCATTACACTGAGAATGCATGCCTCGTCCAATGTTCAAAGGAACCTGGTCTGAAATAGCTACAGATAGAGGAATGAAGCAGTGGCTAAAAAATAAACAGTTTAATACTAGGGCTTAAGATGGCACTTCAAGGTTAGCAGAAGGTCATTCGCTTCCCATCAGAACAGCAGAATCAAATCTCACAAGTAGGGGAGAAAACTGTAGGGACCATGTCTAATCTAATTAGCCAAATTCCCTTCACTTTTCTAAGAGCTGCTATGGCTGAATGAGCAAGGACCCTGAGTAAATATGCCTTAATGGGGAGGGCAGGGGGTAAAAGATAGTGAAATCATAACACAGAAAATATTCCTAAGAGCAATAAAAATATTCTAACAAAAATGCCTGGTGCAGTCTCAATAAAATAAAATAACAAACTCATTCCTTGTACCCTTTTTATCTACTGGGCTGTACCTCTGTAGACAACCCAAGTGTGATTATGCTCCAACCTCATCCTAATGTACCAAATAAAAGTCAGAAAGAAAATGAGAAAAGAAAGGTCAGGTTAAAGCTTCTATCATTCTAAATAGATATACAGTACATTAGAACTGTCAAATTATTTTATTAGTTTTTCCAACCTTGGCACCACTGACATTTTGGACTGCTAATTCTTTGTTGTGGAGGGCTGTCCTACACACTGTAAAATATTTAGCTGCATCTCTACTCCCCCACCATACTAGTTGTATGACAAGCAATGGTGTCTCCAGACATTGTAACATGTTCTCTGAGGGACAATATTGTTCTCAGTTGAAAATCACTGCAGTAGACTTACGGTCTTTTGTATAGTGTATTAGGCCACTTTTACAGTCATTAAAAATTGGTGGTTGTGGCACAATAATTTTCAAGCTGTGGAATGAACAGCAGTAGAGGCCCTGTAATCAGCTTTGTGGTTTGTGATATTTAAATACATCTAGATAGAAATAGATTAGAAAACATGAAAGTGCATCTCATGTTTTGAGACCCTTCTGTTTCATATATAAGATCTG